TTCTTCTTCTTTTCCTTTTCTTTTTCTTTTTCTTTTTCTTTTTTCTTTTCTTTTTCTTTTTCTTCTTCTTCTTCTTTCCTTTCTCTTGCAAATGATAGGGGGGCGACCGCCCCCCCCTGCCCCCCCTGTGGCGCCGCCCCTGCCTATATTATATGTAGTACTAGTAGAGATTAGTGACGCGAGCCACAAACACGCGTGACAAAAAATTGCAGAGTTCCGCTGTCAATCTGCGCAGGCGCAAACACGGTCCGGGGTTTTATTTCGCAGCGCAGAGCTCAAAGTTTTGGTGTTGCAAAACACACATGTATTTGTATATATATCTTAGTTAGCTATATGCAGAAACCAAGTTGCCGATGCTTGTTCAAATGTATACGTAAAACTTTTTGTGATTTCGGCAACTGCTCATGTATTTTCATACTTGTTGTGCATGTACTGGTATATTGCAACTTAATTGTAATTGCTGTATGTTTTTTACAGAAACGGCCATTGACCGGCTATACCATGAAAAATACCTAACGCCGGAGTGCATTTCTATATCCCTGGGGCCGGCGTATGTTTTATAATCATGGCATGGACGGGTTATCAGATATTTATGGCCCTGCTGTTAGTTACTACAGGAACGGTGAACACCATCTCGACTAAGTGAGTTGTCAACTATCTGTAACTTGCATGGGTAGCTCTAGATACAATAATGTAACCCAAACCCAAGAGGATAGGGTGTCCTATCCTCTTGGGTTTGGGTTACATTATTGTATCTAGGGTAGCTCTAGCTCTAGTAACTATAGCCCGCGTACAGTTGCCGCAGGGGCACAACGCCTGCGGCAACTGTACGCGGGATATAGTTACTAGAGCTAGGATAGCTCTAGTACTATATAACCCGCTTACATTAAGTGCCGCTGGCCCCCAGCGGCAGTTAATGTAAGCGGGCAATAGTACTAGAGCTATAACTTGGGCTGAATGGGTCGTTGTCGTATCAGCTAGTACTACAGATATGTACCCGAGGTACATATATGTATATACACAAAGTGTACCAGACTTGTACTACAGAAGTGTACCCTAACCCTATAACCCTAACCCTAACCCTAAACATACCTCATATAAAAATATAAACATAATACTAAACAACCTAAAACTACCTCCTAATTATATAAAAATATAAACATAATACTAAACAACCTAAAACTACCTCGGGTACATATCTGTAGTACCTGATACGACAACGACCCCATCTGCGTAACTTGGAATTAAAAATCGACAGTCTTTTGCAGGGAATTACTTCTACTAGTTCTAGATAAAACTAGACAGAGGGCACACACGGAGAGTGCATACCTCTGCCAGCGACATAGCTCGTAGCAGCCGCTCGTTGCTGCTGCTCACTCACATGTACACGCTTGACTCGACGCGTTAATATCGATCGCGCCAACACACTAACACACTAGCACTGACTGCCCTGCTGCTTGCTACACGAACCCACTAACACACGAACGCACGAGACCGATCACATAACCTCTCCGTTGGGCGGAGGTAATAATGTAACCCAACTCAAGAGTAGGTGCATGGTATAGCCCCTAACCATACTCTCGTGTTGGATTACAATCATTACATTATTGTATCTATAGGTTACACTATCATATATATAATTATCTATCTATCTGTCTATATGGTTACGTCGATCTGTCACTCTTGACAATTACTGAACGGTATTATAACTGCGATCTAGTCGAACCAGTTTGGATCAGCGAGTATAATTTAAACAGACAGTTCCATATGCTTATTGTTATCAACCTTGATTCTTATCAACTAATTGATCTTATGGCATATGCCTTATCAGGTGGGCGGACAAAATAGAAGCCCCAGGCAAGAATGGCCATGTGCATCTGTTCAACCATCCATTTCTCCAGGTAATTATGAAACGAAATGCTTGAGTAGCTTGTTTTTAGGTGACTCCCAATTAAGCTACTTGTCACAATAATGTCACAAATCCAACAATCATGGTTTTTAACTGTAATGTGTATGTAGTGTTCAGGCCCGTAGCCAGCTTTATATTGGGTGGGGTTCGTTTTTCAATGTTTGTAATTTGCTCGGCAGGGGCATGTACAGGATTTGTACCAGGGGGGGTCTAACCGTAACACAAAGTTACGAGCACGCGAAGGGGGGGTCTGGGGGAACTAAAAGAAAATTTATAAAATTACACCCCCTCAGATGCGTTTTCTGCGCGAGCAAGGGGGGGTCCGGACTCCCTGGACCCCCTCTGTACACGCCCCTGCTCGGGCGCGAAGCGACCAGGCGAGGGAGCCAAGCGACCGAGCGGGGGGAGGGTGTGGGAGGGGGGTGTTCACTGTTCACCCTCCCGCACGATGGAGATTTTGCAATTATTACACTAAAATGGAGCGACCTGAGGTGAAATTCTTGCAAATTTTCAACAACAAAAATTTTTTGCTTGGGGGGGGGGGGGTTCGTTCGAACCCCCCTAACCCCCCCTGGCTACGGGCCTGGTGTTATCTACTGTCACTCTCTTACCAATGTGATATCTCAACACTGAGTGGATGCAGCTGTCTGTCAATAATGCAATATGGATTGATCAATTGTAATAGCCATGTGTTTTGTGTGGCAGGCATGCTTCATGTTTATCGGGGAGTTCTCCTGCATGCTCGTCTATAGACTATTCCTCTGGTGTCAAAGACGCGGCACAGGGCCACCACCCGCACCAACACAGAACTTCCCCGCAATCATCTTCTTCCTGCCAGCACTGTGTGACATGAGTGCAACCTCCGTGATGTACCTGGGACTTAACTATACGTACGCCTCAAGTTATCAGATGCTGAGGGGTGAGTGTGGTGTCATGACTGCTGGTGTCTTGAGGATGACCATCGGTTCACTGGCTCTGTTACATGCAAACCTGTTTTAGCGAACACCTCTATAAAACGGAAGTCTGTATATATACCAGTTTCAGACCACCTTGCTTTTGCCTGCGCTTTTTCTTCTCTAAAACTAAGGGCTTCTCCCAACGAGATGTGTTGTCAATTTACTGATGGAGCTTGAGTATAATGTTGATGCATGACTTTTATTCTTGCAGGGTCTGTGATCGTATTTACTGGACTGCTGTCAGTGGCATTCCTGCGGCGAGTACTCGTTTTCTACCAGTGGTCTGGCATTAGTTTCATCGTCTGCGGTCTGCTATTGGTGGGGTTGGCGGATATTCTATTTGCCAGTGTGGGTTCGGCGTATGATACAAACAGCATCATAACAGGTCGGTGTGGATTACAGTGTTTTTGTTTGTTATTTAGTGATATTAAAACTAAATGGGATTGTAACCTACACCTGCTGATATAGTTCTGGCTCTTTTCACCTGTTGTCTGGTGACAAACCCTGGCACCTTATTCAGCTTGATCAGTTTCGAAAATGGTGCTAATAGGGCAATTGCCTGGATTTATCATAGAATGAAATATTTTAAATAAATAAGATTGTATTTATCAGGCGTCGTGGAACCATTTTTGAAGTGGGGTGCTCAATTTGTTATGATCCAGTAGAGCGATTATGTGATAACGCATGTGCGCATGCATAGCGTCTAAAAAGTGGGTGTGCTCGACTACCCGTAGCCCCCCCCATTCCATGGGCACTGTTTATATTTAGATGCATGTGGCAAGTGTTTCTGGGAAGCATTTTCTTTGGAAGCCTAAATGTTTTTCGTATGTTTTCCTTTGTCTACTACTGTACATTTATTCTATTTCCACCAGGGGATTTGTTGATAGTGATAGCTCAAGTGTTTGCAGCCTCGCAGTTCGTGCTGGAGGAAAAGTTTCTCTACAAGCACAATGTACCACCGTTGCTTGCTGTTGGCTGGGAAGGCAAGTCTCAATTTTTCACAAACTTTGCCCACAAGGTGACGCCACTTGTCTTTGTAGGCAGTACGTGTGTATGTATAAATGTGAAGCCAGTTATGCTACATATACTAGTACATACATATTTACATGATCATACATACATACGTACGTATGTATGGTTCTTTGTATGTTGAGGTATACATATCTATGCTTTGGTCTTATTCTTGGAAGCATTGCTTGCAGGTTTGTTTGGATTTTTCACACTTTCTCTCCTTCTGATTCCCATGTACTTCATTCCTGCGGGAAGCCTCAGTGGAAATCCGGAGGGAAGGCTCGAGGATGCGATCGACGGACTTATCCAGATCTCCAACTCCTGGGAGATCGCACTCGCTGTTCTACGTGAGTCAAACCTTTTTCGCCACGCATTAACTCTATAACAGGCTTTATTATTTCAAGGGTGTTACAATATGTGTAATACACAGTCAAATCTATATACAGTAAAACTCGCATAAGTCGACACTTGTTGTACCAGCATATTTGTGTCGACTTACGAAAATGACGACTTACGAAGAAGTCGTTATTTTGTCGACTTATACAATGTATGTAATGCGCGTATACACTGTATTAGCTGCCTTGCGTAGCAGGACATTTGCGGTGTACGTCTGCCAAATTTTCTTAGAACACTTGTTGAAAAAAATACGGTAATTTCGCGAGGCCGTGATCTGGAATTAACTAGTTAGTACTGTATAGCAGAATTAATTTTCAGGGAGTCACACGGACTCCTCCATATGTCAGGGAGTCTGACAGTAAATCAGGGAGTATTTGACTCGATTCGGACTCGCGTTAATTTCGCACCCTGCATTGGGCTGCATACACTATATACACTATGTAATACACTGTTACAGGGCGCAACAAACTTGCTTGCCCGCTTGCCCGGGGCAACCAAAATTCGCCCATGGGGCAAGTAGCTTGAAATTGCACTTTTTTCAAAAGCAAAAAGCAAGTTTTTTTTATTGAATGTCCAGACATAATGATATTTTTCTGTTTCCACCCGTCCCTTGCATTGTTTTGCACAGACACAACATTGCGCTGTCTTGCTGCGATGAGATTTGAATGAAAAAAAACCAATGCGAATGAAACAATGGTGGATACAGTGATGTACACACAGCAACATGTAAACCCGGCCCCCAGGCCAGGCATATGATCATTACGTGATACCCCAGGTCAGCGTAAATCTCAAACCTCAAATGCAAACTCCACGACAGATGGCGATCTCGCTCGTGGGCTCAATCTACCACTGCCACAAGCAGATTTTCCGTTACAATTTGTAACACTTTTTTACCACAAGTTTTACAGCAGCCAGTTTACACGTATCCTATGTAATAAGATTTGTACTAATAAAAGTTGCAACGATATTAAAAATCCGACCATTATTTTATGAGAAATTTGATAAAATAGTGATACGAAATAGTGCGCGTATTGTGCGCACATTTACTACTTTCAAATCATTACGCTGTTTACTAAACTAAGTTCACGTGTTTATTTAAAATTTATCATGAATTTTTCGTATGCTTGCCAATATACCTAATTCTCGAACATTGGCTTTGATACATTTTTGCGTATTCAGCTTAAAATATCTAAATTTGTCCACCAACAAACATGCAAATCATAGAAATTTCTAATGTTTTGTTCGGCGGCGACTTTGCGGCCGTTGATTGCCATTTGCTGAATTTCCCCGGAGCTCCGCCCACTTTACAAATAGTGCTAGCATTGTGGCAGTGGTATCCTGAGTGTACGAAGGGGGCACTGCATGCAGTTTGCCTCAAATGTTTGCGCCTCTACTGCAACCTGTGAATGAGGATTTTCTTTGCTGAAGTACACAAAAACAGATACACTGTATACTGTGCTGTCAGTCTATTATATCTGCATGCATGCACTGCGCTTGCTTACGATCCAACCCCAAATAAACGTGAACATATTTTATTAATTTATTGTGAGTGTGGTGGGTTTTTGATAATAACTTGACACTTAAAAAAATTAAAAATTTAAACAAACTGCGTGCTGTGTCCCAACATGAATATAATCAAGAGCTAATAATACCTAGAGTGTACAACGGAAAAACGGGAAAATAGTGCTATTTCACGACATGATTATTCTACTTTGCCTGCGAGTCTAGAATAATTTTATGGTACTGCATTAAGCAGAATTCTTTGCTATCTAAAACAAGACTAACCGCTTGTCAATACGATACTCCTAGGCTGAGATATTGGCTCCTAAACCTCCCCTCCCACAGGCATCACAGCGCCTCGAATCCACATCAGTCAGCAACCTACACGCCTCTAAGCATTTCGGCTATCGGTTTCCGTCACCGCTTGGAGCGCTGATAATTGATGTCACATGCCCAAATTTGGTACTATTACTACACCATATAGTAACAGGGGCGTAGCCAGTATGTACAGTAGCACTGTAGGCCCGGGCCTACA